GGAAGTATGGCTTTCAGTCATCCAGCATTCAAGTCCAATGAACATTTCAGGAAAATGTAAAGTATGTGATGTGCTCCTAACGGTCTACAGAGGATGCATGTGATGTGCATCAAGGCAGAAGGATTTGTAAGTATACCTAAATATAATACTGTCAGGAATATAGGACATGCAAAATGAAGCACCTGCCTGGTCAAACAGAAAATCAATTAAAATAAATAATAAATTGAATAAATAATAATTAAATTAAAACAGTAAAGCAAATAGGAACTCAATGTTATTTGATCTCAGCTTTCCAGTAATTTATGCTTGGAATGGAGAAATAACTGTATAAATAGTTTTGTTTCCCTTCCAAAATGAAGATTTTTAAAGTATAATTGTACAAATGTGTGTAATAGCCAAATCCTAAAGGAGATATAAGTATAGAAAGCAAGCCTGGTGCCGGTGGCTCACACCTGTAATCCTAGCTACTCAGGAGGCTGAAATCTGAGGATCATGGTTCAAAGCCAGCCAAGGCAGGAAAGTCCCTGAGACTCTTATCTCCAATAAATAGTCAGAAAATAGGAAGTGGCGCTGTGGCTCAAGTGGTAGACCACTAGCCTTGAGCTGAAGACCTGAGGGACAGCACCCAGGCCCAGAGTTCAAGTCCTATGACTGTCAAAAAAAGAAGGAGGAAGAGGAGGAGGAGGAGGAGGAGGAGGAGGAGGAGGAGGAGGAGGAGGAAGAGGAGAATGGAAAGCAGAAAATGAAAGTACCCATTCTCTTAAAAATATAAATACATAAAAAAATAAAAACACTATTGCCTTGTGATGGTTAAAATGTTTGTGTGTGTTGGGTTGGGAAGGTAGCTCAGTGGTACAGTGCTTGCCTTGCATCCATGAGGCCCTGGGTTTGATTTCTCAGCACCACATAAGCAGAAAAAACCAAAAGTGGTGCTGTGGTTCAAGTGGTAGAGCGCGAGCCTTGAGCTGAAGAGCTGAGGGACAGTGCCCAGGCCCAGAATTCAGGCCCCATATCCAACAACAACAACAAAAAAGTGTGTGTGAGACTTTAACTAAGTACCACTGTCTCACAATGCTATGAAATTTGTGAGATTTATGTAATCACTCAATCTTAATAAACGAATTATTTTTTTTTAATACAACACTATTGCCAGGTGCCAGTGGCTCACACCTGTAATCATAGCCAATCAAAAGGCTAAGATCTGAGGATCCTGGTTTGAAGCCAGCCCAATCAGAAAAAAGTCTATGAAACTCTCATCTCCAACTAACCAAAATGCCAGAAGTAGAGGTGTGGCCCAACTGGTAGAGTGCCAGCATTGAGTGAAAAAGCCAAGAAAGGCCCTAAGTTCAAGCCCCAGTTCTGGCAAGAAGAAAGGGTTGGTGGGGGTTGGGGGAGGGGGGGTGGCAGACAAAGGAATTAAGGAAGGAGGAGGGAGGAAGGAAGGAAAAGAAACTACTCTTAAGCCTGGTATGTAGTATTCCTAGCTCTCTTTTCTTCTCTCCTCTGTCCCCTCTCCTCCCTCCCTCCCCCTCTCTCTTTCCATACACTTTGTCTTTCCCTCTCACTCAAACATTTACACTGAACCTTCCTTTCATGTGACCACAATACAGATACAGCCAGACGCACATGGCCCAGCTCTGTAATCCTAGGTACTCGGGAGGTTGAGACCTGAGGATTGAGTTCTGAAACCTGTCCAGGCAGAAAAATTCAAGGGATTCTTATCTCTGGTCAACCAGCAAAAAGCCAAAAGTAGAGCTCTGGTTCAAGTGATAGAATGCCAATCTTCAATCAAAAAGCTAACGGACAGCACCCAGGCCCATTCAAGCCCAGTACCAGTGTGTATGTGCACACACACACTCACACACATACAGATATACACAACAAAATACAACAATAAACACAAAGACAAAAATTTAAAGCAAGACACAAATAATACAGTGTTCTCATAAGACTATGTTGCCCAGAGATGTAGCTAACTTGATTTGCCTAAGTATATGCTTTGATGTGTACACAATAACAAAATCACCTACCAATGCATTTCCCATCATTAAGTGATGCATGACAACAGATATATAATTTATATGCTTGTATGCTTGCTTTTCCCTCTTTCCCTCTGTCCCTCCTTCCCTCTCTCTCTCTTTCTTTCTATCTTTGGTACTGAAGTGTGAACAAAGGCTCTTGCCCTTTTTAGGGTGGTGCTCTGCCACTTGAACCATGTCCTCAGTCCTTTTTGTTTTTGTTCTTGTTGGAATAGGGTCTTGCATTTTTTGCCTGGGCCAGCCTGGGCCATGATTCTCCTATTTATAGTTCCTGCATAGCAGGGATGACAGGTGAACACCACTAAGTCTAGCTATTAGTGTATTGCTAACTTTTTACATAGGATGACTTCAAATTTCAAACCTCCAACTACCCTTCCTCCAGAGTAGTTGGCTCTATATATACTTTTCAATAGGCACATCTGTCTGGTTGGGTATTACAACAGTTCCTAATGCCACAGTCACACACACACACACACACACACACACACACACACACACACACACACACACACAGGCTCCTATGAGCTTGGTTAATTACCAGCCATTTCTATCCAATTTCTCAACATAAGCTCCAGTATACTCTCTCTCAGTTACCTGGAGGGAATACCTATTACTCCTCCCTAATAAATGCTGATGTTATCAGCATTCTTTCTTTATTTTTATTTTTGGCTGTGGGGCTTGAGCTCAGGGCCTAGGTGCTGTCCTTAAGCTCTTTTTGCTCAATGCTAATGGTCTACCACCTTTGAGCCACAGTGCCACTTCTGGTTTTTGAGTAGCTAATTGGAGATAAGATTCTCCATGGGGACTTTTGCTGCCCAGGGTTGGCTTTGAACCGTGATCCTCAGATGTCAGCCTTCTGAGTAGCTAAGATTATAGGCATGAGCCACCTGTGCCTGACAATATGGTTTTTTTAAGTATCTAATTTTTTATTGTTATTATAAAGTGATGTACAAAGGGGTTACAGTTACATAAGTCAGAAAAAGAGTACATTTCTTTTGTTTGTTTGTTTGTTTTGCCACTCTTGGGGGCCTGAATTCTGGGCCTAAGCTCTGTCTCTGAGCTTCTTTGTTCAAGGCTAGAGCTCTACCACTTGAGGCATGCAGCCAGTTCCAGCTTTTTCTGAGTAGTTTATTGGGAGTAAGAGTCCCACAGACTTCCCTGAACAAGCTGGCTTCAAACCATGATCCTCGGATCTCAGCCTCCTGGGTATCTAGGATTACAGGCATGAGCCACCAGTGCCTGACTAAGCATACATTTCTTTTTGAACAATATCACCCCTTTCTTCAATCTTTCCCAGTTTTTCCCTCTCATCCCCACCCACATGTTGTATAATTTGTTTTCAACATAGTGTTAGTGAGTACCACTGCTGCATTTGTTCACCCTTTGTTCAGCATTGTTTCATATTAAAAATGATGCTTGAGGCTGAAATGTTGTTCACATGACAGAGCATTTGCCTACCAAGTGCAAGGTCCAGAATCCAAACCCCAGTACTACCAAAAAGTCAAAATCAAGATAAAATGATGCCTTATTTTAACTTCTTTCTTCCCTTTTCTCTCTTTCTTTTTTTCTTTCTCTCCTCTTTCTTTCTCAGATCTTCATGCTTGCTGCGCAGGTGCTCATGAGTCGCAGTTCTGTTTTGTTGTTGTTTCAGTCATGGGGCTTGAACTCTGGGCCTGGGCGCTATCCCTCAGCTCTTCAGATCAAGGTGAGTGCTCTACCACTTGAGCCATAGTTCCACTTCTGGCTTTTTGATGGTTCATTTGAGATAAGAGTCTCAGGGACTTTCCTGCCTGGGCTGCCTTTGAACCGTGATCCTTAGATCTCAGCCTCCTGAGTAGCTAGGATTACAGGCATGAGCCAGTAGTGCCCAGTTGTTTTATTGTTTTGATTTTTTGTTTCTGTTGCCTGGGCCAACCTCGAATCATGATCCTCCTGCCTCTGCCTCCTGAATAGCCAGGATTATAGGCATGCACCAGCATTCTTGACCACCTCGTTTTAATTTCTACTAAAATTAAAAGCAGCACAACTATTTTCATATATTTATAGTCAATATTATTTATTCCTTTGAGTTGCTTGTTCATTTCTATTGGATTATCCATTTTTAATCTCATGATCCATTTACCTGTTTACTTATTTGCTGATTTATTTTTGAAACAGGATCTTGCTATGTAGCAAGTACTTCTTCTGTCTCAGCCTCCAGAATTCCAAGATTACAGGCATCACACCTGGTTTATCCATTATCTTACTATTGATTTTTAAGAGTTTTCTATGTATTATGTAAATGAATATTTTATATTTCTGTGATTTGTCCCCATTTAAAAGCTTTACAATTAAGTTAGAGATAACTGTAACCCCTCTGTACATCAACTTTACAATAAAACACACACACACACACACACACACACACACACACACACACACAAAGAAAAAAAAGAAGAGTGAGGGGAGAGATGGTTGGGGAGGGATGGGTGAGAATGTTGAAAGGGGTGACATTAATCATGATATAGTATATTCATAAATGACAACTCCTTTGTACAACTACTTAAAGGTAATTTAAAAAGAAAAATAAAAAATATTTATATTTTGTTTATAGTATTGGGGTCAATTAAAAAATTATAATGTACTCCAATCAGTATATCTTGATTTACAGCTCCAGCTTGTAACCTGGGAAAGAGGTTGCACATAAGTGCTATATGCAAGGAAAAATGGAGGAGAGAATTAAGGGCAAATACCAAAGCTGGAAAAGAGGATTGTGGGAAATTCTGTACTGCTGTGTATGAACCAGGCTGGCTTTCTCCAGAGAGCAGGCTTTGAGCTGGGTGGTGGGATCAGGCTCAGAGAGTGGAAGAAGGAGTAGATCCTTAGAGAGGTCTCCAGTATGCATCAGGTTCCCTATTGCAGACAGGAACAATTGGGGATGATGAATGAGAGTTTAGGGGCACCATGGGAACTGAGACTTACCAGACAGGTATGAGGATGTTTATTTCTTGCCATATAAATGCAAAGCTGAGGCACTGTCGCCTACTCCAGATCTTGGCTGCAGGGAGAGCTCTCCTCTACTTCTGAGCTACCTCCAGCCGCAGGTGACCAAAAGAAACATCGCCCTCTTGTGGCAGTTGGCAGGTAACACAACAGTTGTATGGCTCAGTGCTAGTGTCCAGAGAAGGTACTGTATCTGCCCATGCAGGCTATGTTCAAACCATGATCCTCACATCTCAGCCTCCTGAGTAGCTAGGATTACAGGTGTAAGCCACTTGGCATCCAGCTCAATAAATATTATATTATATGAGCAGACACACATAGGCATTGCACCATTGTGTTCCACTCCTAAGAGTATCGTCCTTTGGTCTCACTTGAATTTTTGAGGCTTCACCTTTCTCTCCTTGCTTTGGGGGCCTGGTTTAGGCTTAAACTTGCTGTAATTTTTCAAGTCTGAGGAAGAGATTAATTGTTTTTAGCACATCTTAGCACCAGTGGGATATCCAGTAAGAGGACACAGGAGAGAAGTTTCAAGTCTTAGGACTCAGAGAGGGAGTAGAGCTGTAAAGGAGAGGGGCATTTGCCCTCTGCTGAGCGCTATGAGCCTGTGCAGCTTGCAGGGAGCCTAAATAAACTCAGGCGAGTGAAAAAGCAGAGAGGAAGAAAATGAACACCAAAGGCCCCGCCCCCATCCCCAACACCCACCTTGCACGGAAAGGTCACTGAGAAGTTATGAGACGCATGAGAAATTACTGTCAAACCTGAGCTAAAAAAATCTCTCGCATACATTCTTCTGGACTTTGTGTGCTGGACTGATAGAAACAATAACTTCAATAAAGGGCTTTAATCCTTCTTCCTTCCATGAAATGGGATGTGAGCACCAGGCTGTTTCTTGCCCATCTCTCATGTATCTTGGAACTTTTGTTTTAAACAAAACAGTGCTTCAGAGCCTGATTTAGCAGTGAACAGCTATAATTCCAGCCCTTGGAAGGCAAAGGCAAGAAGATGGAGTGTCTGAGACTAACCTAGGCTTTTCTTCCCTCAAAACGAACAAATAAACAAATGAACAGACAAACCAAAAAGGAAGTGCTCCACAAGTCACTGTTAAATGAGCAAGTGTGGAATGGATGAGTGAGCCAGGCAGCAATGGCTCACACCTGTAATCCTAGCTACTCAGGAGGCTGAGATCTGAGGATCACCCAAAGCCAGCCCTGGTTGGAAAGTCCCTAAAACTCTTATCTCCAAACAACCAGCCGAAAACCAGAAGTGGAGTGGTGGCTCAAGTGGTGGAGAGCCAGCCTTGGGTGAAAAAAGCTAATGGAGAGCAGCCAGGCCCTGAGTTCAATCCCCAGGACTTACACACACACACACACACACACACACACACACACACACACACACACACACTAATAATAATAATAATTAATGCATCATTCATTTGTACACTTCCAGCAGGCCCTGTACACAGCAGGTCCGTTCTTGTTGATGATAATGAACAGGTGATCTCTTGGGCGCCCAGCGTCGTAGTGACTAGGTTTGCTAGGAACTGAAAGATGTTGCATCAGTTTTTGCCTGGTTGACCCACCTGTGGGAACTTCACTTAAAAGCAGGATGTGGGCTAAGAGTTTCTCCCCTTCCTATTTCTGAGGGTGGGGGGAGAGCACAGACAGTGCCTCTGATCTGTTAGTGGGGCCTCCGTAGGCGTGGCCACATCTGCACGGCTGAGAGCTGAGTGGGAAGAGAAATAAAGAGGATGTCAGCAGCAGCCCGTCACGAGAAACAAGCCACCCACAGGCACTCATGCTGTGGAAATGGAGCCGGGACACTCAAGGCACTGAGCTGATCATTCATCATCCACCTTGGACCTGTCCTGACCTCTGCAAGGCAGTGTCTAGGAAGGTTGGATAACATGGAGATAAGACACCTCCTACTGGACGCCTGGGGAAATTAACCAGGACAATGCATGTGAACTACGCAATGCATACTATCAAATAGTAGTTTCTATTTATTTCTAGATGTTCAAATCTTTGTCGCAATGAAAAAGAAGAGAAGCCAGGTGCTGGTGGCTCGTGCTTATAATCCCGACTACTCAGGATTGTGGTTCAACGCCAGTTCAGGAAGGAAAGTTCATGAAACTCTTATCTCCAATTAACTATCCCTGCCCTTCCTCCCTCCCCAAAAAAGCCAAAAGTGGAGCTGAGGTTCAAGTGGTAGAGTGCTAGCCTTGAGCAAGAAAGCTCAGGGGCAGCACCCAGGCCTTGAGTTTAAGTCCCTGACAGACAAAACAAAACCGGACAGGTCTGAATAAGTAGGCATGCCATTTGTTGTGTTTTGGTGGTAGTGGGAGTAGAACCTGAAACCTCATGCTTGCTAGACACATTCTCTACAGCCTGAGCCACAGCTCCAACCCCGCAATGGGGTTTTTACGAGAGGAGTGATTCTTAGATTTTAATGCAATAGTTCTGGATGCTATGTGAGAATAAATGGAAAGGGGAAAGGTTGATCAAAGTGCTTCTGTTAAAAGAGGATTGCATTATGATAAGTTCATGATGGGCTGGGAAGGTGGCTCAGTGGCAGAGCGCTTGCCTTGCATGCATGAGGCCCTGGGTTCAATTCCTCAGCACCACATAAGCAAAAAGAAAAAAGCTGGAATTGGTGCTGTGGCTCAAGTGGTAGAGCGCTAGCCTTGAGCAGAAGAGCTGAGGGACAGCGCCCAGGCCCAGAGTTCAGGCCCCACGACCGGGCCCCCCCTGCAAAAAAAAATAATAAGTTCATGAGACTCTTATCTAAATTAGCCAGCAAAAAGCCAGATGTGGAGTTGTGGATCAAGTGGTATACTAGTCAGCCTTGAGTAAAAGAAAGCTAAGTGAGAGTGTGAAGCCCTGAGTTCAAGTCCCAGTTCTGGCACAAAGAGAAGGGGGGTGGGGAGTTGGTGTTGGTAATCAGGAGAGAAAGAGACAACAGGAAAAATTCTCAAACAGGCTCAAGTTAGGGGCTGGGAATGTGGCTTAGTAGTAAAGTGATTGCCCAGCATTCATGAAGCCCTGGGTTCCATTCCTCAGCACATAAACAGAAAAAGCCGGAAGTGGCGCTGTGGCTCAAATGGTAGAGTGTTAGCCTTGAGCAAAAGAAGCTCAAGGACAGTGCCCAGGCCCTGAATTCAAGTCCCAGAACTGGCAAAAAAAAAAAACAAAAAAAAAAAAACAGGCTAATATTAGTTGGCACAGTAGTGATGTTTCTTCTGCATTAATCCTTCTGTACAAAACTTATCCTAAGATAACTGAAAGATAACTTATCAATGGGCCTTACAAGGAAATTAACTTTAAAATGGCCAAGCTGTTTTTTGTTCTTTGTTTTTGTCTTTCTCTGTCTATAAAACCAATCTCTTTGGTCCAGCCAATTTCTTATCCTGGTGTGTGTGTGTGTGTGTGTGTGTGTGTGTGTGTGTGTGTGTGTGTGTGTGTGTGTGTGTGTGTGTGTGTGTGTGTGTGTGTGTGTGTGTGTGTGTGTGTGTACTGGTATTGGGACTTGAACTCAGGGCTTAGGTATTATCCCTTAGCCTTTTGCGGGTAGACAGGGCCGTAACAATGTAAGGAAATATCTTCTACAGAATTCAGATATTACCGCATTTCTAGATTTTGAGTTGATGCAAGTGGGAGGTTGGTCAAACTTTAGTGATACAACATTCCTATACTCTCATCTAGTAGCCACGTGGATCTCAGGTAAGCTACCAGATTCTTAGGAAATGATTATTAAAAGTCACCAAAGATAGTCTTTTTGCTTTTGAACAAATCATGTTCTCATCAGCCAAAGCCAAAGCAGGCTTTTCAATATGGATGTGGCTTCTTCATACTCACAGACCTTTAAATTGCTGTATAATTTAGTCCTTTGGCAATTATGTTACCACCTAGGCCTTGGGTTCATTGTTTCAATTCAGTAAATGATTGACAGAAAGGACTGAGAAAGATAGAGTAAGAATTTGAGAGTTTAGCAAGGAGCAATAAAAAGAAGAATCCCAGACCATTTACCTGTTGGTAACTGGTAAGTAGGTATAACCCCCTGACCAGAGAGAGCCACCTTACCCCATAGGAGACCTGAAAGGCCATAAGGGCCAAGAGACAGAGTGTAAGAGTGAATGATTTATTACAGGAGCTAAGTTAGTGGGAAGCAAATGTAATAGATTTCTCCAAAGAGGAGTCCCAGGGCAGGAAGAGCAATGACCTCTTCCTGGATTTCTCCTTGTATCTCTATTATCCCCTCCCCGACCCTTATGTCAAGCATAGTCCTGTCTTTCCCTACTTGGCAAGTGTAATGTTCATGTTTTCCTGAGAACATCTTCATTGGACCTTTGCTTTAGAGCACATATTCAGAAGGCTCAGAGCATAGACAGGCCGGCTCTGATCCAGGGGCCTCAGGCCTCTCCCCTCTGGAGTGGATCCTGATTCTCTTCTTCTCTGTGCTGCCTGCATAGTTCTAAATCTCCCTCACCTGAACTCCACATCTCCTTTCTTTGAAGGGAAGGATTTCAGAAGGGCGTGCTAGTGCAGGACTATAATCCTAGGACACAGGAAGTAGAAAAAGGAGGATTGTGAGTAGGATCGGGCTAGCTTGGGCTGTTGTCTGAAAACAAATAAACAAATGAACAAAACTACAATAAAGGTGTGTCAAAGGATTTCCATGAGTTTCTAGCGGACAAGAATCCTATTAGTAGGAAGAAATGATACAAGACCAAGACAGAAGATGGTGAGTTGATAATGGACAATTTCTGCTATTGATTTCTTTTGGTGGTACTTGGGTGTGAACTCAAGGCTTCACACTCCCTTGGCTTGCTTCTCAGCTGACACTTTACCACTTGAGTCACACCTTCCAGCCCTGCTTTTTCTTGATTATTTTGAAGAGTTTCACAAACTTTTCTGCCCAGGTGGCCTCAAACCTTATAGATCCTCCAGATCTCAGCCTCCAAGAAGCTAGAATAACAGATGCCAAGACAGCTCTATCACTGATTTTTGCAATGATAGGGTGTTAGCAAATCATGATTATGAAGAGTTGTT